TTTCTGAACAAACTCTTTGGCCTCTGGGGGATACTCCGTGTCTGACTGCTCTGCTGCGTTTCTCAGGCCAAATATTGCCACTGCTGGAGACGGGCTATTACCGAACACATGCACTGTCATTCTGTACTCGACAATAGGCTCTGCCGGGTCGTTGTTGTGATACCAGAGGAACCGAAGGAAGTTCCTGTGGTCCTCTCGCACATGAAAGCAGTGGAACATTTGTTGTATGTCTGCAGTCACTGCCACCGCCTCTTCCCTGAAACGGACAAGGACCCCAACCAGACTGTTGTTCATGTTGGGCCCAGTAAGTAGCGCATCGTTTAAAGAGACCCCCTGATATTTAGCACTTGAGTCAAACACAACCCTGATGTTCCCTGGTTTCTGTGGGTGGTAGACCCCAAAGAATGGCAGGTACCAGCATTCTTCGTCTTTCCCCAGGGCTGGAGCTAGTTCTGCGTGGTATTTATCAAATAATCCCTGCATGAAGTCCATGAATTGTTTCTGCATTTCAGGACGTTTACTGAGTGTACGGCGCAGAGACTCTAAGCGACTGAGCGCTAAAGTTCTGTTGTTTGGAAGGCGGCGCCTAGGTGTTCGGAAAGGAAGTGGTGCTATCCAACTGTTTGTGTTGTCTTGATAAAAGTCTCTTTCCATGATTTGCAGGAAAGCTTGGTCTTCAAGAGAAGGAGCGAGCGTTTCATCCTTTTCACTTTGATGAAATATTTGTTCCCCCATTTGGCATGTGCTACGAGCGTCCCAGGGCTCATTGTGTGACTGGAGTTGCTCTTTAACATGGAAACTATTCTGGCATGGTGACAGAAAGCTTGGGCGCCCGTTCTCTAGCACATTTGTTTTGTATGTGCCTACAAAGGCTGGCTTATGTGCTCCCCCAAGGCATACATCCCCCACAATGACCCACCCAAGTACAAGTCTCTGGGCAAATGGGGCATTGTCTGGGCCATTAACACGTTCGTATACCTTGTGCACTTGTATCAAATCTCGACCCAACAGCAACATTATATCAGCTTTAGGATCAAAGGGTTCGATATTACATGCCAGGTGTTTGAGGTGAGAATGGGCTAGAGCAACTTCTGGGGTTGGGATCTCTGACTTATTGTCTGGCAGAAAGTCACACTCAAGAAGGGAAGGCAGAGAAGATGAGAACTGACCATCAACTGACTCGATGACAAGGTTCTCTGCTATGCGGCCATTTGTAATAGAAATCCCAGTGCATGTTTTAAGTGTGTATGGCGCAGTGTTGTCCATAGGTATATCAAAAATGTCTAAAAGAGCTGTTTTGGCTAGTGACCTATTGGATTGGTCATCTATGATAGCGTAGACCTTGACTTTCTTGTCTGGATGCCCCTCTGGATAAACGTATGCTGGACATATTTTAGAGCAAGAACGCCCTCCACGTAAGTCCCCACAAACCTGAGTGCATGCTGAGGTTGTCGCTAAAGTGCCTGTACTACTCTCCCCGCCATGCTCCTCTTTATGCTCACCGCCCTGGCCTGTAGAGGCATATGGGGTCCGCTTGTTCACCACTATCCATGGTGCTGGACCTGCGTGCAGAGCAGCAATGTGTTTATTACTGTTGCATTCTGAACATGTGATTTCGACCTTGCAATCTTTCGCTTGGTGACTGGAGGAATCACAACATCGAAAGCAGATATTGTGCTCTCTGAGATATGCTTTGCGCTCATCTAGTGTCTTCTCTCTAAAACCCCGACACTTCCTTAGTGGGTGTGGTTTCTGATGAATGGGACACTGTTCATTTGTGAACTCTTTGGTTGAGCCAGTATTGTATGTGTCATTCGCTTCCGTTTTATGGACAGCGACTGGAGATCTGAACTTAGCAGCTCTGGAGTAGTGGTTGTCATGAACGGCTATGGTGGATGTGGTGACTGGTGTGGCTGACTTAAAGCTGGGGTCATTTCTCATTTTGGCTTCACCCTGTATGAACTGACAGAAAAATGAGAATGGAGGGAAGCTGACATTGTATTGACGCTTGAATCGTGTCCCCTCTGCCATCCACTTATCTTGTAGATTAATGGGCAATTTTTCAACCACTGGGAAAACTCCACGTGAGGTGTCTAAATACACCAAACCAGGTAAAAAGCCGTCTGATTTTGCTGCATCTATTTCCGAGAGTAAGTCCCCAAGTTCCCTTAGTTTTTGTGGCTCTTTATTTGTGACTCTAGGAAAGCTCTCTAATCTGTCAAGGAGAGACTTTTCTATAGCCTCAGAAGTGCCGTAGCAATCTTGTAGCCGTTCCCAAACTTGACGTAGGCCCTCAGCTGGATTGTTAAGATGGACCGAACGTATGCGTTTGGCATGTTTGGAAGATTCCTCACCTAGCCAGCGAGATAGCAAATCCAACTCTTCACTTGGCCGTAAGCCTAGCCCCTCTATAGTGCTATAAAAAGAAGCTCTCCATGCCCAGTAGTCCTCAGCCCTATCTGTGAATTTAGTTAGACCATCTGTAACTAAACTTCTTTTGGCCAGAAATCTAGCAAGATCAGTGAGGTCGTTATTCCCACCGTTATATGGATTTGGACAAAAGGGTGGACTGTGAGGTGTGAGTCTCAGATGCTGGTGGTCTGAGAGAGGAGCAGCTGGTGACAGATTGCGTGCTTTTGGTGCATATGCGAGAGGAGTGGTTGGATCTGGTATTGGACTCATACTGCCTTTTGGTACAGGTGTAAAACGTTTAGTGTCTGGTACTTCTTCTCTAAGATAAACAGACGAGTGTTGAAGATAGGAATGCAGTCCATAGTTGTCAGAATGTGTTGTAGCTGGAAGTTGATTTAGCGTTTGAGGAGTTAATTTAGGTGGAGCGGTGGCTTGACTGGGTTCGGAGTCCACACGCTGTTTCACTGATGAATGTATTGACTGTGTATCATTTATGACCTCCTCAGCTGCCGCTTCAAACACATTAGCCTCAGCAGAGGCTGCTTCTGCTTCTTTCTCCTCTTGTAGTGCTTGGAGCGTGGCACTTAGCTCTGCTTGTTTCATTTTTATTTGGATTTCCTTACGTGCAAACTCAGCTCTGGTGCGCGCAGCTTCAGCTTTAGCTCGTGCTTCCACTGCTGCTTTGGTGAGCATGTTGTAGGATCTGGAACTTGATCTGGATCTGGTTGAGCAGGTAGACCGGACCTCGAGGTGCTCCTCATCCCCTGGCTGCATGATGATTTTGGCTCTGAAGTCTGTAGACGGCACACTGTAGCTTCTGGAATAGCCGTTTCACAAGCCTTTTTACTGTTCTGCCCTCGATAAACTTAATCTAGGCAGACAGATAACCGGAACAATGACGACACCGGTGTTTACTTTTCCAGGCTTTTATCATTGTAAGAATGGTAAAACTGCAACAAATAAAAAAACAGCCTCAAGTTGTGCATTCAAACAAAATACAATACAACATATAACACTGTCAAGGTGCCTCTGAAAAATACGAGGCCAATGCTAATGCTAACAGCACCACATTAGCGGCGCTAGCATACTGCGCTAGCATCCGGGGCTAGCATTTGGAACTAATTAAACACATCCACAGAATAACACACTAGGGAAAATACAACAGTTAAACTTACTCAATGCTAACACACAGATTAAACAAACTCACAGGCTGTGCTGGCTCAATCACTTCAATGTGATCTACCACTGGAGCTGAATCATGTTTGATAACTGGAATAACTGTTGACCGTTTTTCCACTTCCGGTTAGCCAGGAAGTCACTTCAAAATAAAACTATTTACATACAAAAAATAAATCATTGGCTCAAAAGGAGCCAGAACAATAATATTGAGAGAAATGTGTTTTTTGTGTGTTTTGATCATATTGTAGATATAGATTTCAGTACAGTATTTATGTGTGTAATAATACTTAAATGTAACGCTAGAAGTCCAGTTACTTAGCTACGTGAAGACACAGCACCGAGCGAGCTCCTGTATTTAATGTCTGTTTTACGTGTTTTGCAGAGCCTGAATTAAATTTTAATGTGCTGCACATGAATGAGGTAGCCCATCATTCAAAAAGTGTAACACTATCTTTGGGACAGTTTGCAGCCGAGTGTGAAGCGGTTGGGATGAGAATCAGCACCTCCAGATCTGAGGTGCTCGAGCGGATTTTACACTATAATAATTAATAATATACAATTATTACTTCTTGTTCCAACGTGAAGCGTGTTTTATCCATGATTGTGATTGGTTTCTCATGTTTCACCTCAGCTTTTTTGGGAAAACTCACAAAAGCTTAATGAAGCTTAATGAAACCTAGGTTTACACAGTTGAAAAACGGCTTCAAGCTACCAGTTAAGGCAAAGTTACTCGGTTTGAATATCTCTGATTCTGTTAAAACGCAACTTACGATAAAACTCAGAGTTTGTCAAATCTGCTTTTAAAACTAGGCCTCTAGACATGAAACACAAGGTTGAAAACTGGGTTTGTTCAGAAAAAGAGGAATCCATAAAATCAATCAGTTAATCATTTACCTTTTATTCACGAAGCACTGTTCATACAATGCAACAAAACTTGCTTTACAGTTTGATTAAAGACAAACCCGCATGGCCATGAACTGTGAACCCAACCGCCAACAGACCAACCCCAAAACACGTACAGTATATCATCATACACACACACGAAAAGATATACGGCTGAAGAAGCGTTATCCAAGGAGCAGTCTGCACCAGAAACGGAAAGCTTCCTGCCGTCAAAGGAGACGACACAGAACCCAGGGGAGAGATGAAGCTGAGGCTCCAAACCTCCATCAGGTCCAAGAGCCAGCCCCCAACTGACCACTGCTCCCAGTGCAGAGGGCAGGAGGAAACTGGGGACACTAAAGAAAACTAAATAAACAAAATATGTCACAAAGTGGGTGGGTCCTAAACGGCAGAAGTAGATTACATTTTTAGCTTCCCTGCATCACTGAGTGCTCCCATTCAAAACAAATGTCTACCATCTTATCCACAAGCTTTTGTTAAAAACACAAACAATGGCAGATTCAAAATTACATTTGTGGACATGTGTAGGACATTATTGCATCAATCATAATTTTGATGATTTGTGGTGGTGGGTGGAGGTTGTGGGGGAGGTGATGTGTCTGTACCATTTGCCATGCATCCAGCAGGAAGACCCCAGTGTCTTTGAACACAGCCCGCAGCACCTTGTTCTGCTGTAGGGAGTACCAGTCACTGTTAGCCTGGCTCTCCGTCAGGGTCAGATCTTTCATGTTTGCAGATCGGATGACTACCTTAGTACCCGGAGCTCTTTTTAGCAAGCGTTGAACTGATTTGTGAATGGTCATAAGCCGCTGATAATAAACCTCCAGAGGATAATGGCTGAAATGAGACCAGACACCTATCACAATGACAGTGTTGGGTCCCCCAATCAAACCATCCAGTTCATTAGCCACGTATCGCAGCTGGGCCGGTTGAACATCGACAAACCGAATGGGAAGTCCATGGGCGCGGAAAGATACCAGAATGTCCCTTCTGTAGTCAATAGCCATGAATGGACCACTTTGAGGTGGATTGTTCTTGTCAAACGTCTGGAGATCTAAAACAAAAACAATTAATTGGTGCAGTAAGCAGGTTTGTCCCTCATACTGGAGTAACAACACCACAACTATCATAGGAGTGGAAGAAGATAGGAAATGTTTCTGGTAACTACTGTACAATATCCGCACACTAAAATGCTTGTCGTTCGGCTCAACTGCATAAAAGAAACTTATTATATTATGCCCCCATTTCTTATTGTAGTCATCGTTCTCTCTAACCTAAAAGTCCTAAAAGTTAGTGCTCTGAGTGGTATACTGACCCAACTTACTTAGTAATGCTGTGATATAGAGGTAATACTGTCTGATAGTAGAGTCTCCAAAAAAATACATCCGTTTTCCCCTGAGACACGCCGTGACAGAGATGTTGTTGAATGGACGTATTGCAGGGCCACTCAGGGATCTCCATTGTTCGTTGTAATAATATCCAGAAGGTCCTACACTCATTTTTTTGAACTTATTTCCTAAAAAGCAATAAACAAACAAAAATTGAGTTGTAGTCACTTTATAGTTTAAGTGCCATTCAAACATGTTTATGTAGTGCCAAAATCATAAAGGTACGTAAACCGACCATCTTTACATTTTAGTTTCTGATGGCAGCATGGTTTAAAAGAGTAGATATTTTTGACACTAACAATGAAAACATAAATAGTGAAACAGTGCACAGGTATGTCAACTTAAGTGCACTAGGGATATCCTAATCATTGGTCAGCACATACGCATTGTTGAATATAGGAAAGTAATACATTTGGTGAATTGCTGTCAGAGATATGTGTTTTAAAAAACAAACAAAAGCAAACAGACAAAGGCTAAAAATATTAAGGGTTGGGAGTTTCTCATCACAAAAGGGTAACTCAAAGTCATATAATTCAGATACATTTGTTATTTGTGTAATTCAGGATATAGATATGATAATTTAGGCATGTCAGGAAATTAAAATATAGCCAAAAGCACCCAAAGCGCTTTAGAATGTTCATAGTTCAGACATTTTCCCATTCACTCCACACAACTGTGATCACAGAAGCAAGACATCAAACACTGCCGCATCATAGCCCCCAACCAACACCATCCATATGCCCACTCAGTACATTCATACCTATTGTACATGATTTTAGTGATGGGAAACCTACCCAGACACCGACAGAACATGCTAACTCCACACAGAAAGATCAGACACATGCAAATTCAAGTTCTCCAGAAAGAACATTTTCAACAATATCTTTCAGGTGCTGGCCCCACACTGGCCACACTGCCAGCCAGTCTACTCACTCACTGCCTTCTGTAACCAACAGAGCTGCAGGGAAACCCATCAGATTAGGAATTGCGAAATGAAAAAAAGAATACATACTGGAACATCCCTAATGCACACAACCTTTAATTTCCTTTAAAAGGCATTTTACAGATTACCTTTTTTTGGCAGAATTAAGATACTTTTATTTCCCACGGCTTTCAGAGGAACTTTCATGTTTATTCTCCTTCAACACAAACATATTTATTACTGAGAGCAATTTGATTTGAACAAAATAATATATTATCAAAAGAATGCAATTCTTACTTCTGGAACAGGGCTTCTTCTTCCTTGCTGATAGTTGAATGTGGTATGACGTTTTTAGAATGGATGACCCGAGTGTCACAGTCAAGAGTTGAAGGTTTGTAGCAGATCCATTGTTCTCCAGTGTTAGGGTCAGAGAAGTCACACAGTGGAGCCTTCTCTGGATCGAGACAAACGTTACATGATGTTGTTTGTTTCAACAATCCAGATCGAAAGACACTGGTGAATTGGACCCTGTCAGGCTCCTCCTCATTCAGACGCTTTAATTCACTTTGGAGAGACCCAAGAGGGAAAATGCAGTTAGAAGTTTGTTGATTGAGCATGTTTGGCGCCCCAGGCCCGGGAGAGATTCTGTTGAGCGCGGCGCTTGCTCGCCCGCATAATCCCCCCCCGGGGCCTAGGCACTGGTGGCGGCAGAGGCAGTAGGCAAGCACGCTTCGATGAGAAACGGAGGAGGTGGGGCGGCGGAGGCTTGCGGACTTCAGAAGGCTGGGAAGTGGGTGTCTCCGGCTTTTAACTTGCTGTCCTGGTGGTTATTGGTTGATTAGATGTGGGCGTTGCTGGTATGATGAGTCGAGGATGAGCAGGCTTGTAGCAGCGGCCGGGTCTACCACAGTGAATTTTCGCGAAGAGCTTAATTTCACTTTGGAGAGACCCAAGAGGGAAAATGCAGTTAGAAGTTTGTTGATTGAGCATGTTTGGCGCCCCAGGCCCGGGAAAGATTCTGTTGAGCGCGGCGCTTGCTCGCCCGCATAATCCCCAAAAACGGGCAGAGTTATCTTTGCGCGCCGGGATGTGAGCGCTCGCATCACAATCAACCGGACGCTGCCTGGGACGTGAGCGCTCGCATCACGATCGATACCAGACGTTGAAGCAGAGTTGCCTTTAAGCGCCGGGACGTGAGCTCGCATCACGATCAACCGGACGCTGACTGGGACGTGAGCTCTTGCATCACGATCGATACCAGACGTTGAAGCAGGGTTGCCTTTAAGCGCCGGGACGTGAGCTCGCATCACAATCAACCGGACGCTGACTGGGACGTGAGCGCTTGCATCACGATCGATACCAGACGTTGAAGCAGGGTTGCCTTTAAGCGCCGGGACGTGAGCTCACATCACGATCAACCGGACGCTGACTGGGACGTGAGCGCTTGCATCACGATCGATACCAGACGTTGAAGCAGGGTTGCCTTTAAGCGCCGGGACGTGAGCTCGCATCACGATCAACCGGACGCTGACTGGGACGTGAGCGCTTGCATCACGATCGATACCAGACGTTGAAGCAGGGTTGCCTTTAAGCGCCGGGACGTGAGCTCGCATCACGATCAACCGGACGCTGACTGGGACGTGAGCGCTTGCATCACGATCGATACCAGACGTTGAAGCAGAGTTGCCTTTAAGCGCCGAGACGTGAGCTCGCATCACGATCAACCGGACCCTGACTGGGACGTGAGCGCTTGCATCACGATCGATACCAGACGTTGAAGCAGAGTTATCTTTAAGCGCCGGGACGTGAGCGCTCGCATCACGATCAACCGGACGCTGCCTGGGACGTGAGCGCTCGCATCACGATCGATACCAGACGCTGCAGCAGAGTTTCTTTAAAGTGCGTGCCGCCACCAGAATCTTATAGGTTCACTTACTTTGCTTTGTATTGCTTTGCTGGGAGCTTACGAGGAAGCCAGTTGCCGTTGTGCAGCCAGGATGGCGGACGCGTCTGGCCTGATGTAGGCGGAGAAGGCCGAAGAGGACCAGCGCCCCAGCTGTTGCAGAGAGGTGTGGGGGAGCCCCAGCGAGGCCGCGCGCGTGGCAGCGCCTATCCTGAATGAGTGAGCTGTGTAGAGCTGGGGAGATAATTTACAGAGGAGCAGTAGGGATCTTAGCTGAGCTCTGAACCAGGTTGCTGTCATGGGAAGAATGTCTGGAGTGAGAAAGAGAGGTCCGTTAAAATCTCCTTTTTGCAGCGGAGGCGAGTGTAACGCATCATGGACCTGTAGGGGCAGAGAGGTGTGTCGGAGCGAGCTGTTACTATGTTGCAGGTTCCTTTGATTTTTTTGAATGTTTGAGATGAAGGTTGAAATGGTCAGGGGCCATTAAGTTGGGTGAAAAAGAGCGACCTTTGTGTAATGCTTCCACTACATTGAGATTATCACACATGACAGAGATCCTCTTTCTCTGCCACGTGTGATTCCACAGCGCTCAGCCACGACCACTGGGAATATTTCGTGTAGGGCAGAGGAGATGCTCCGGTGGAAAGTAGCGGCCACGGCCAGGCAAACCAATGGTCCTGGAAGAACCCCCAAAACCCACGGAAGGGGCACGTCCGTGTAGAAGCGGAGACCTGTAGGGGCAGAGACATGTCGGAGAGGGCCATTGATGTTTGCAGGCGCCCTTACGCTTAGAATCTTGGGTTGGAGAGTAGATAATCAGGATAGTAGGATGGTCGGGAAAGCCGTGTCTCGGACCGCATGAAGGTTGAGTGAGCAGTAGTGAAACGCTTATGCAGAGAAGCCATAGAAGGCGAGCAGGAAGATGCTGCGAGGAGGGCAGACATGTACTTGGAAGATGAGCCGGAGTTCAGAGCCGCTGCAGGATGGGCAGCACGATGGGGAACCTGCGATCAGAAGAGTGAAGAATACAGGTATGGATGCGTTTGATTAGGAGTCCGATTGACGGCTCAGCGCAGCAACTCGGCCGACTGCATCTGATAGAATCAGAAAATTAAGTATAGAGATGAAGCATGACCGCCGAAGCGACCCTGGGAGCATAGGTGCGAGTCCAGCGCAGCGCGGCATACTCAGCCGGGCTGCATCCATTAGAAGCAGGATAAGCTTCTGAGAGAGTGGGTAGCAGCAGCTGCAGCATCTGTAGATAATAACAGCAATAATCCTGTATCAAAGCCACAGCAGTAGAATGTTGTTGTAGCTGTTCAGTGTTTCAGTAAAAGAGATGCCGGTGAAGAGAGATGGCAAAGTAAACGAAGCAGCAGCAGCGGTAGCAGTATGAAGCAGCAAGCAGTAGCAGCAGCAGTTGCAGCATCCGTAGATAATAACAGCAATAATCCTGTATCAAGGCCACAGCAGTAGAATATTGTTGTAGCTGTTTAGTGTTTCAGTAGAAGGATGCGAAGTGAAGAGAGGTGTCAAAGTAAAAGAAGCAGCAGCAGCAGCACGGCAGCAGTAGCAGTATGAAGCGGCAGCGGCAGCAATAGCAGCAGTAGCGGTAGCAGTATGACGCAGCAGAAGCAGCATTAGCAGGAGCAGTAGCACCACAATGCGATTCATACGAACAACAGACGTGTCACGCCAGTGTGCGCCGCTTGTCTCTGTGAGCCAGGTTACATACGTGTCTGAAAGAGCCGAGCCGTAGAGACAGGTGCAGCCTGGGAGCCCGCGGAGCGGCAGCGGCAGGAACAGCAGCAGCGGCACATGTAGTAGCAGGAGCAGCAGGAGCAGGCAGCAGGAACAGGCAGCAGCGGGAACAGGCATCAGCGGGATCAGGCATCAGTAGGAACGGCAGCAGCGGCGGTCAGAGAACCATGCCCATGGTTGTTGAACAGCCTGAGGAAATAATCAACCCGAATCCGAAACATTCCCATGCGAATAACAGATGTCCCCCGGAGCCATCTTCTGCTTTGGTTATGGCAGAGACGCATGAACGATCACTTTTCCACGCGTTCATTAGCTCCAACACCAATTCACACCCATTGCAGATCACATTGGCCCTTTTTCTTTCTGCTGCACTTTCAAAATGCAACAACTGCAGTTCAGTTACCAATTTAATACTAGTGACCTAGCTCTTTAAATGCATGGCCCCTCTTTCCTCCTGCAGATAGACGGATTTAAATACATTCATTTAACAATAGTGACCTGCGAGTAATGAGATTAATGCCGTAAAGATGGCGCCGTGGCAAGAGCTCTGGTGTGTACAGTCTGGAGCACGATGGGGTAGTCTTTGCACATGTTTTCCAACGTGGTTTTACTGCAAGTGGCAGAACATGAATCTGAATTAATGCACACTGCTCCTTTTATATCCCTCAGACAATAGAGATTTGATGCCATTTAAGATGCATTGCCCCTCAGTTAGCTCAAACACGTGTGAAACGGAGCCTGCAGACCAAGCACGGGGCGAAACTGGCGCCTGTAGTCAAGTGCGTAGGGCAAAACCAGCCGCTTGCAGCCCAGACTCAGGGATTAATCCGTCCGCAGGTCAGCACACTCACTGTACTCACATGCCAGGAGACGTGGGAAAAGCAACGGGACAACGCGGCACCGCCAGTCGGAGGCAGGGACACGCACGGCACCGCCAGACCGTCTGCGCGCGGCAGCAGACCACGAGGAACGAGCAGCACAGGACCCGCGGAGCAGCCCGCAGAAGAGCCCGCAGAGAGAGCAGTGGAGACACGCGAACCACAGCAGGTGCAGGGACACGGAAGAGGAGCAGACCACGAGCAGCCAGACTGAGGACAGCCGGGCCACGCGCACGAGCAACACGTGAGCAGAAAGCGACCCCTCCAGAACAACGCATGCATTTGCGAACAGGAGCGTTAGCGACATGCACCTTGCGGACTTCAGAAGGCTGGGAAGTGGGTGTCTCCGGCTTTTAACTTGCTGTCCTGGTGGTTATTGGTTGATTAGATGTGGGCGTTGCTGGTATGATGAGTCGAGGATGAGCAGGCTTGTAGCAGCGGCCGGGTCTACCACAGTGAATTTTCGCGAAGAGCTTCATGACTGTGATGGACTCACTTGTCTGCACCAGTGTCACCTGCAAAAGTACAACAGTATTCCATTCAGCATATAGCCACTGGACTAATGATCTTTCAACCGAATAATCTTATCATTTTCTACAGCAAGACCGCCACAAGTACAAAAGGTCATTTATGTGGAAAGTATACTGGATTTGATAGTGAAAGAGTAGGACCCTTCCCATACACTTCCCATCAAATACCACCTCTGTCTGGAAGGCGCATAAGAGATTTGCTCTACATCGCTGCTCAACAACAAGCCACTGATGCACTTTCCTGCTCGTCTTCCACATTGATCTTTCAGCCTAACAAATAGACATTTTGAAATAGTATCATTTGTAATTATACTCCAACTTAAAAAACAACGTTATATAACCGCTAGTATAACATGACAGTTACGTTTATTTAAAGTCAGGAGAAAACGTCCTGATCCTTAACCCACAGCTGCTACTCCACAGCTATCACTTATTGCAAGTTATTTTTAGAATGTAACCCCCGCAATAAATGAGGAACCGGTGTATTTGTACAACAGTGTTTCTATTTCTGACCATATGAGACACTGTACTACTGTATGTACAGTAAAACATTAAACAATAATATATCTAAAATTATATTGTCTCCCAATGACATAACTACAACCACCAAGATTTGCCAGAGGAGAATAGTTACGCAAATGACAAAAGCTCTCAAAAAGGTGAATTAATTTTGACCAATCAGAAATCTTCCGGATGAGTATGGACAGGTCTAACCAGAGCTTCATCAACAAGTTTCACTCTTCACAATTTTAAAAGTAATTGACGTTCACCTTAACTGTTCACTACCAGTGTCCTGCGTAATCTTAAAGCCACCCTGTGTAATTTTTACAGCTGCTCCATATGAAAAAACATGTTAACTAACAACAAATGTGACCTCCACCATGTTTTTTGAATTGTATTCATAGGCTTAGAATTCAACTTGTAAGTGTCCATGAGAGAAGGGGTCCTATCCATGTGAAACGCGTTTTCGTTTCACATGAGCTACTGATATCGTTGCTTTCACCGTGACTTCACAAGTTGGAAGAAGGAACCATGGAGGACCACAGTTATATAAAAACCATGAAGGACCACAGTTATGTAAAAGAACGATCCGAACAACAATCTTTTTAACACATAATTATGCAGAAGTCCAGCGTCATAGCAGCGAAGTGTCAACATCGCAAACCACACGCACAAAGACAGCGTTAGCACAACAGGAGGCACATTGTGTAGTTTGTACACAACAGACTCACACGAGTACAATAAGAAACTTTTTTCACACTGACAATAATAAGAACGAGACAGACTCTGCAACAGTCTCAGGATGTTCTGACCCGATCCAAGCGCAGTCCAACTACTGTCACAAGTTTCAACTAAACTTATTCAGGGACAAGCCTCAAATAAAACACACACAGAATCCCCACAAAACAATTGCCAGAATCCTTACAACAGCATGAGTGAATGTTCTGTTTTTCTTACCTGGTGATGCAGATAGGCCTCCTCTTCACACGGCGTTTGTAAAACTATATAATAATAGATCCATGGTAAAAATCAGCAGAGTTCAGATGCAGGGTGCTGCATCTGAACGTGCTCTTGTTTGACATCCACACCTCCACGCGTCAAGTGCCCGAGACATTTGGAGAGATCCGGTCATTAATCAAACTAAAGTATTCTTCCCTTGGCAGTCTTGTGAATGACAGAGTCGAGGAGCTCTGGCTTTGACAGTGCTCCTCAACTCAAAGGCCACTGTAAATCAGTAGACTGCAATATAGGATCTCAACGCTAGATGGCACTAAATATTACACAGTGTCCCTTTAAAAATTGCATGTCCCTTGCAACGGTCTTAATAATAAAAGGTTTGGTGTCTAAATAACTTCTATATTTGGCCGCTGTGTGAACACTGCTCGGCAAAAAGACAAGGTCTAAAGGGGAATTCAGACCGTCTGCGGCGCTGGACAAACCTGCATGCCGCGGTGCACATCCAATTCCTCGCACGGATGTACGTCACCTTTGACTTTGCATTGGAACTGGGTGGAAAACATGGTCCGGTCTGAAAGCCCTTGTAAGGTTAGTTGAAAGCACAGCAGCACGCAGGCTCAGTTTGGCTCAGTTATTTTTTCTTCCAATACAGTAAGACAATTATAACAAATAATGTTGACCCCCTTCTACAGGGGCTTTGGTCAGAGAATGGGGCACGGAGAAGGCAGGTGGCGCATTGTGCCGGCAAGGTCACTGACATATTAGTGGAACTTGCCATATCACTCGCTATATTTGGCCGTCGTCTGGTCCTCCCGGTTCTGCGCAGTGGACGAGCTCCCATGAAGCGTTGTGCCAAATACGCGTGTGGCTCTCATGCACGTGCACAGAGGGGCTCAGCCGCGCTCTGATCAATCATAACTGCTCATCAGAGCAGGAGTAAAGCCTGGTGAGTAGTCGCGCGGCACGGACCTTAAGGTGGTGACCGCAAGGCCCATACGTAGCCTACCGCGCACCCTCAAAAATGTCTAACTACGTAGGGGTCGCCTCAAGGAAGCCCCGCTGTGATTGGTCCGTGTGTGTGTATTGGAAGGAAGCACGAAGCGGCTGCAGGAGCATGGACAAGGCACTATGGAGCACACTGCTTTGTGCTTCGAAGGAAAAGCGGTTTGGGCTCATGGCAGAGCCTGATACACGCGGAGACTGGACTGTTCAGTTCTGTTGCATATCTAACATATATATAACTTATAAACTGTGCAGTAGTTTCTTTTGCACTGTTCCTGTCTTTGTTTTAATCGTAGCTTATCGCGTCTGTTGCGTTCCGCCTGGACTTTTAAATAGTTCATATTTGTCTCAAATATTTACCACTTATTGTTTTGATGTTTGTGCTGAACACACTATAATATTAACTATGTTTCCAACAAGAACTGTGTCTTTATTCACAATATCACAGTTAAATGAGTTGAAACGATGAGTCCATAGAACTATCACATAAACCTACAGTAGAAACTCATCTAATGATCTCAAACAGCTTCGCTATTCTTTTTGTTCTGAAGAGGAGAGAGAAGCAGCGTAAATGGGAGTGCTTTGGCTAGGCAACCCCTGTGGGTTCGCCATCACGTGGTTGGTTGTGGGATTACAACATTCGGGGAACGCGCAAGTGTACCACAAACTGGTTACGTAGGTCCAACGTAACCGCAACCGTATGAAGCGCAGCGCGAGTGTACACAGGCCTTTAGAGCGGGGAGCCAGACGGGCAGAGTTTGTGGCACTAAAAGGGCACGGTCACATAGGTTTTTACAAACAAACCAGGCCAAGTGGCCCGGATCGTCGCCACAGGGGTGTGAAAAAATGTCTTTCTCCAAAATGCAGCGGTGGGACACGTGTGTGTTGTCTGTGTGTGTGGGCACGCGCCTTTTTAGTAAAGAGCGTAAAGCGCTGCGAATGAATGAAAGACAGAAAAGTGGCTACGAGCGACCGGAGCGTGCGTGCGTGCGTCTGTTCTGGCGATTAAATAAAGACTGATTCTTGAATGTCTGAAGTGTTGTTGCAATAGCACCTCACTGAGAGCGAGGGTCAGAACAGAAGAGAGCTATACCCGTAGGATATACAACGGTCCGGGGCTTATATGAAAGGAAACACAGCGGAGAATTCGAAAGTGCAGGGAGAGACTGTGTGAAAATGCGTGTCACAGGAAGACGTAATGTGACGCACAATATCAAGTCCCTACCACACCTCATCCCCCGCTCCCCACCCCCCACCACACTGACCCCCTTCATCCGCGCTCGGAAGCGGGTCATGGCCGCAGTATTGATCCGTGCCTTAGCACGATCCGGGAATCGTGCTGAGGCACACATGCTGCGAATGCATGAAAGCTGTAGTGCTCTGTCAGCTGAGGTCGAGCTGTTTTAGTTTATATTGAGTTCTATGGGGAAAATTTCTGGGTAGCCCACGTGAATTTAGTCTGGTTTAGTCTGCAGTACTGCGAGAATTCCCTGAGCACATGGGTCCTTCAGCTCCAAGCTAGTAATACCCTATCCAGTTATTATAATAGATCCATGAGGTACATCCAAATGAAACAGCCGTTTAGAAAGGGGTATGAATAGTGAGGGGTGTGTTAGCAGATAACATGAGCTGTTTATAAACTAATAATACATCAAGCCCCGGTGATCCAAGATGGCGCCCTATTCAAATGAATGGCTTGTGTTCAGTAGCACATGGGACTTCACTGGGACCGGGAGATTAGATGAACTTGCTTATATTTGGGCATCTTCTGGTCCTCCCGGTTCTGAGCAGTGGATAATCTCCCATGAAGCGTCGCACCAAATACGCGTGTGTGGATCTCATGCATGTGCACAGAGGGGCTCAACCACGCTCTGACTAAAACCGAAGGATTTAAGAAGAAAAAAAGTTCAGGATGACAAGGGACGCTAAAATCCCCCAAACATACGATCTTTCTGAAAGCTGTAGGTTCTCTGTCTGCTGAGGTCAAGCTGCTATAATTTACAGTTCTATGGGACTTTTTTCAGGGTAGCCCTTGTGAATTTAGTCTGCAGTACCACGGGCGCCCCCTGTGTCCATTGGTGGGACAGCTATAAGCTAGTAATATTTAAATAATAATAATTAGTCAATAACAACATATAATAACAAAACAGTTAAGAATTTCTGACACCTGTCAGTATAAAGTAGACTTTTGTCTATATGCAGTGACTAATAAAAGTATTCATTCACCACTTGCTAATAAGTTAATAATAAGTAAAGTAACATGTTAATCAACAGACCTCCACATCTGCCGCTCCTTTCCATAGCAGAGGAAACACTGCAGAGAATGTTCCGTTGAGGTGGTCCTGCACAGTTCCTACTACGCCTGCATTGAGCTGCTGGTTGTGAAGCTTGGCAATGAGAAAGTCCCCTCCATTTCTTTTAGTGTTTCCATTGTGATCCTTCAACAAGATCCTGACTGTCAGCTCATCCCCCACGCACCAGCCTCCCTTTTGAGGCACAATGGTGAAAAGGCTCTGAGAAGCACTAGTTGTCAATTTCAGTGAAAATGGTTCGGGCAGAGGCACGGTTTCAGGCCAGGTTATAGAGTCAAGAAGTTTGCGGCCTTTTTCCACATTTCCAGCAGAGAGGTAGTTGAATAACTTGGCAAAAGCCAGATTGATGATTGTGTAGAACTCTAACGCGTTCTCCGAGTGTTTGTGAACTCACAAATACCGCGAGAATTCAGCTTGCAGGCAAGGTTAGTAGTTGAAACTGCACCTCTGGAACTCAGGTTTAATCTGTGATGTGGATGATAAAATTGACTTCTCAATGTCACAAGTGGATTGTGAGAAGCAGACAGAAACTCTTTTGTACCACTGGGTTGACATTAAGTAGTTTTCCTGAAAACAGAAGACAAAAGACATGTTGGTTGTAAGGCACAGTGCAGTGACATGTGAAATTCATGGTCGGTGAGGCACTGACTTTATCATTATCAGATTTACATCCATATCAACATGACTTACACAGCAGCTCATTCACCATTTGTTTGGTATCAGAATTCTTTACTAGTACCAAATGCAAAAGCATAAAGTACACTTTAAAAGTGTTTTATGGTCTTACCTTACACTAACCCTGACCACTAACCCTGGCCAGACTTCCTTTTTCCCACAAACTTTCTCCAACTCATCTTGGGGAATCCCAAGGCGTTTCTAGAGCCCAGATAAGAGACCTTATCCAATGGCTTTATGGTTTTTTATCATTGCATTTCTTGTGTTGAACTGTTTGATTCCCTGATCTATGTTGACTAATTCAGTGGTTTTGTAAAATCACGGCACTGAAACACGTTCTATAGATCCATGGCTATTATAGTAGATCCATGATCCATGGACGCTACGCATGGTGCGGTTGTTGTTTTTGCATTTCCCAGAAAGTTTTGCGGTTTGTAGTCGGCTGTGATAGGTCGAGAAGTCTCTGCCTATGTTGCAGGTATTGGCCGGTACAATAACTGCTAACAGTTTATTTTATTTAGATGGGGAAGAATTGGGAAATAGCACTGAAAATCAAAAGAAAAGACGACAGTGAGCCCATCTCTCAATGTAAAATGTAACGTCCCAAAGCTAAAAGCTAACGGCTAAAAGCTAACAGCTAGCGCACAAACGTTTGGCATAAAACTGTACTTTTACAGTAACAACTAACACATCAAGCACCTTTTGTGTGACAGTAAAACACCTGTGTAACAGTACAAACTCGCAAATATCATGCTTGGGTGTTACAGTACAAACCTGAAAATCAAAAGAAATGAGACGAGTCACACTCAGCTTCGCTCCAAGCTCTCTGCTTGCCAACTGACAAAAAGCAGGAGCGGGCGCCTTAAAACCGTCTCCGTCTCCAGAACAGCACTGCCTTCTAGCGGTGGGCGTCAATACTACATTGTTAAATTATACAAAATAATGTGACCACACCGAGCCCCGGCGATCCAAGATGGCGCCCTATTCAAATGAATGCTTGTGCTCAGTGGCGCTTTGTGACGGTATGGGGGCTGAAAGATTAGCGGAAGTTGCCTGACACTCGCAAAGATCTATGGGAAACTCGCCTGTAGTTGGGCATCGTCTGGTCCTCCCGGTTCTGCGCAGTGGATGATCTCCCATAATGCGTTGCGCCAAACACGCTTGTGTGGGTCTCACACCGGGTCTCACGCACGTGCACAGAGGGGCTCGGCCGCGCTCTGACCAATCAGAGCAGTTCATCAGAGCGGGAGTTAAAGCGAGAGCCAGACAAGCAGAGTTTGTGGCACTAAAGTGTGGATTTAAACAAAACCGAAGAATTTAAGAAGAAAAAAAGTTCAGAATGACAAGGGACACTAAAATCCCCACAAAATCCGACCTTTATTAAAGCTGTAGGTTCTCTATCAGCTGAGGTTGAGCTGTTTTAATATGCATTGAGTTCTATGGGGAAAATTTCTGGGTAGCCCACGTGAATTTAGTCTGGTTCAGTCTGCAGTACCGCGAGAATCCCCCGGGCACATGAGTTATTCAGCTACAAGCTAGTAATACCCTATCCAGTTATTATAATAGATCCATGGACCACACATAGTGGGCATGACACCTACATCCCCCAGAATTCTGCGCGCTTCTGACTCTGCTTTATTTCCTGTGTTTTATTCCTGTTTTTTTGAACGAAGTGAAGTGAAACTATCGAAAGTTCTATCGACCCGTTTTCTATGGATATCGAACACGTGTCTATCGCAATATATATCGTTATCGTTTTATCGCCCAGCCCTAACCCAAAGCTCATGACCATAGATGAGGGTAGGAACATAGATTGACGGGTTAATAACATGCTGCACCAATCCTTCTGTCAATTTCACACTCCATCCTTCCCCCGTGAACTATAGAACACACGATAGTCTGCATCCAAAAGATGAAGACATAGTGAAACCCAAGAGGAGACATCTGTTTGTCTCAACTGGCCTCATTTTCAAATGGAGGACTATATGTCCAAACTCACCTGTAGATTTCTCACAAAAGTGGGGGCCAGTGGTCCGCTGTGATTGGTCACAATCTGCGACCCAAAACCCATCTCTTCCTTGTTTCATCAAAACTCGATCTAAAATATGTCACGCCAGCACAAATCTGCGTTACTTTTTCTTCAAAAGGACGTATATCCCAATGCACTACATGGACATGGATAACATTTTCGTAATGAATACAAAAATAAAGTCAGTTAGTGCAGCTTTAAAGTTAAACTTTAGTAGTATATAATGTATAAAGTGATTACATGACAGACATGAAGCACTGTTGCTGTAGCCAAACAAATAGTGAAGAAGCCTATCTGTAGGTCATGTGATATGGTGTAAAGTGCACTGACTTCAATGGTGATGAAGTCGGTGCCTCACCAATCACCAACCTACTGCATGTCACCGGTCTACACAAGTAATCTAATAAAGGTTCCTCCAGGGAAATGGCAATCATTTCTGTATTTTGATGCATTTTCAGATGAATTTGTCATTCAAAAAACAGTAGAAAATAGTACAACAGATGTGAATATAAACCATATCCGGTTTATCAAATTAACTTAAGCTATCGTTATTTGCCGGTTGCTTATAATTCATTTCCCTCTGAAAGTATTTGATTTTCGACCCTGAAGACATGCACAAATGTTGACACAAGGCGACCGGTAAAAAAAAAAAACCTGTCCAAAAGTAATTATGCACACGCACGCCAATTGATCGGAAAACTGCTGAGTGTAATCTCTAAATGGAGAAAGGCATAAGATTACATCATCCAGAAGTTGTTAGTAAAACCTGACTAGGGGCTGTTTGAATGAGCTTTTTGGGGCAAAATGTCTAAGGCTAGATATCAATTCACAAATACAGCATTTGACCTTGATTAATTGATTAAGAGATCCTTTATTCGTCCCACAGTGGGGAAATTTCAGAACACAACAATATGCAACACACAATTTAAGTGCAAGTTATATAATCATTTATCAGTTGGAATTTAATCACCGTATTTTTAAGCAAAGCAGCAGGGAATTTCTACTTGTTTTATAATGTCCTAGCTAAAGAACTCAGCCTGGAGTGTAAATATTAACGGACGTAGTCACGCCTATCTTGACCATTCTAACCGTGGCTGCCGGATTCGTCCCGGAAACCGGATTCGTCTGGAAGCTCAGTTTGTCAAAAAGTGTAAATAAACATGTAAACAGTTTGTGTTGTTATATACAGATTATATTCTTGATTTGTGCACATATGTATCAAGGTTTATTACGAGAAATATCACACACCTGTTATGTGTATCCCTGTGTTTATTTATTAGTTAAGTAAGTAAAGGACAGTTAATCTAATCAAGAATTAAACAGTCTATGTGCTAGCCTCATTTCCGTGTGACTTTGAACGCATCTGGGCGCTAGCTTTATGGCTACTAAAAGATTTTTTTTCTCAGAGCTCTTTTTCCACCATTTTTCGTGTTTCCCATGTGTTTTGACTGGGAGTGACGTCATCGGCATGTAAAAATACACAGGGTACCTATTTAAGGCTGACAAGCGGGGCTCAGTATGTGACGCAATATGCCCTACGCTCGTCTGCTTATGTGGTGTGTATGGTCCTCGCTGGTAACATGGGGAGTCTCTCCACAGCACATACAGGGTATTTATGTGTTACTTCATTTTGTTAATAAAAAGCTTTTTACCTTCATGTTGATTATCAAAACAATGACAGACGTCATCAGCCCCATTATGACGATTGGTTTTCCTTTTGAATAAGTTAATGCTTTCAGCTTCATTCTTAGCATTGCGCTCCTGTAAAAAAAAAAAGAAAAGTCATAAATATATATATATACCTTGTTTGGTTGAATAAGATCAAAATCATCCCAAACCATGTGTAACACTCACTTTACAAAAGGTAGAGTTGACTTAGTATAAAAGAGCTTAGGAAATTGGACTAGAAGGTTCGGCTACTTACAGTAAGGGGGAAGTGAAATCAATGAGACTGGGACATGGATCTATTATAATAACTGGATAGGGTATTACTAGCTTGTAGCTGAATAACTCATGTGCTCAGGGGATTCTCGCGGTACTGCAGACTGAACCAGATTAAATTCACGTGGGCTACCCAGAAATTTTCCCCATAGAACTCAATGCATATTAAAACAGCTCAAACTCAGCTGACAGAGAACCTAAAGCCCTAATAAAGATCGGATTTTGTGGGGATTTTAGTGTCCCTTGTCATCCTGAACTTTTTTTCGATTTAAACAAAACCGAAGGATTTAAGAAGACTGTCATAAGTCACAATCTCCGGGCTGCGTGTGACCTGCACGCGACGGCACATGCCCAGACACTGATTTATCATCTGTCATCCAGACAGATGATAAATCCGAGTAATGCCTGGGCAAAGCCCAGGCATTACTCGTTGGAAAAGCAATAGGCCCTTACCCCGGTTGGGGCTCGGGCCTAAATATATTTACAACATTATTAAACATGTATTGATATATGCTGTAGTCCTTGGTTAGAAATATTAGTTAATGACAATCATTATTAACAAACGTGTGTAATTTTCTTCATGTATTACTTTAAATAATTGTTTCCTGATCGTACATCTACCATTTATTTTTTCGCGTAATGTTAATACGCTAAACTTTACATACACCTCGCTCTTTTTTCTCTCGCTCTGTCCCGTCTACCTGCGAGGCGCTTTCTCCTCACCGCCGCGCGCTCCCACACACACACACACACACACACACAGAGCTGCACTTATGAGAGACAGATCTCACAACACTGGATATGTTGGCGTTCTTTTCTCTTTTCTCTCTCCCCTTTTTCCAATTGCTTTCAATAAGTTTTGCCTCATCCATCGCGACGTCCTCAATGCTTCAATATGCTGTGCTTTGCATTGATCGTACAGCTCATGCACATCACACACCGCTTCTTCTATTTAAAACTATAGCGGCTGTCTGTTGCCTAAAGCCGCGGAGAGGCGAGTTGGGTCCGATAAAAGTGTATCACGCGCTAAATAAGTATAGAAAACAAACGAAGAGGCTGGATCATAATAAACGCTGGAGTCACAGACCCAAACACACATGCACGCACACGCCTCCCACCATACACACACACACACACACACACACACACACACACACACACACACACACACACACACACACACACACACACACACACACACACACACACACACACACACACACACACACACACACACACACGGGCGCTCTCACGCACACGCCCACGCTCACGCACACATGCACGCCGACAATACATAACTCCTCCATCAGCCAAACATTCATTCATCCACACAATGCACAAAAACATCTCTCCTACAAAAACAAAGCAGGCTGATAAACGCACAGCCAGAGTTGCGCGCTGCTGCAGCCGGTTTGACCACTAGTCCGTTTTACGGACGTCTGACGGATAGCAGCCAAAGCGCGTCAACGCAGACGCGCCCGGTGGAGTCCAGGCCTAAGTATCATTTTAGCAGTACACGTCTAAAATCACTAAAATCATGTCTAGTGACAACATAGGTTAGCTAACTCATACCTTTAAATCGTTTTTGTACCTTTTTCTGTGGATTTTCCTGTCCGGTATTCAGTTAGGGGGCTCGGTGCTTGTGTCGCGCGCAAGAGACATAATGGCCTTCTCCTTGACGACGGAGATGAAGGGGGCGGGACAATGTGCTGTTTCGGAGCAAAGGTGCATTTCTCAGAGGATTTGACCCAAGAGTTTGGTTTGTTTATAAAATAAACAGCAAAAAATGAATAATTTGGTAATAATTATGATTGATATTAATATTTTAATAAAGCCATATTTAAATGTGGGTTACACATGGATCTCATGTTTTCTACATGGAGGTCCCCAATCAAAGTCACAAAAAGTCACCAAAGTTACTAACACTATACAACACTCCTCTTTAGCCTACATTGTTCAGAAATATTGATAAATATTGATGTAAATGATGTTTGTACTGTAGCTAGTTAGTGCCTCTCTATCTATAATCTATTGCGATAGATTTACTGACAGCTGTCAACTACAAAAGCGTGTCAAACCGCTCTGAACAATGTGAAGCAGAGAAACTCATTCAGCCAATGAAACACTCAAACACTGACACAGTTGATGCGCAAAGCAAAGCAGTGGCGGCAGTGTCCGAGATGGTAACCCCAAAAATGAATGTTGCAAACCAAAAAAATACAATCCGAGACCTTTCAACCCCAAACAAGATTATACGTTGGAAAAATGAAACTTTTTTTAGGAAGGTGGTTTTTTAGTTTTCAGCTTGTTTTTTTTTTGCACGTCAGAAATGAAGATAGAATGAACGGAAGGTACACGGACCATCCCTGCTCATGTTGATTGATCATTCAATGTTAAAATAAAATTGTTGTGAATAATCTGTTTTAGGTCTGTGTACCTTCCGTTTATTCAATTATCATAGAATGAAAATAGAATACTGACATCCCAAAAAAAAAGATGTTTGGCTTTTCCAGTTTTCTGATATGTGAGACATATAATAAACAAATGGCCTTTTTCAATTGAATCACGACAGTAATATAAAATTTTGCATAGTTTTCCTTAAACGATATTTTGTGTAAACCTCACAATATGAAAAATCTAATGTCTGTAAAACCAAAATACAGAAAATGATGAATTTTTTGAACAAAAGTGTTTATCTCGACATTTATACAATACAGAAATGTGGAGATATGTGGACACAATTCATACACAAGGCAAGACTTAGAGTGGCCTTGTGTATGAATTGTGCTATACAAATAAACTTGCCTTGCCTTACAGAAAGCTATAGGTGTGTGCTATTCAGAAATAGGTTACACTTCATATCAAGAAAAAGAAACAAGAAAAAAACAAAGCCTCGGCAGATTGGTAATGGAACCTCCCAAACTCATTGACTGCCATTGACGTGGAAACACGTCAAACCAAATAGTAATTTACCAGGAGAGCTTTTCCAGCTATTCCAACAAATTGAAGGGGTTGGAGCTGAAAAAAAAAGATTTTGAAAATGTACCCTTCTGGAAGTACCATCCTAATGTCCAGGCTTGTCTGACTTTTGCTAGAGAAAATTTGGATGATCCAGAAGGGGATTGGGAGAATGTCTTATAGTCAGAAGAAACCACAACAGAACTTTTGCATCCAAAGAATACCATGCCTACTGTGAAGCATGGGGATGGAACATCATGTTTTGGGGCTGTTTTTCTGCAAAGGGACCAGGACGACTGATTAGTGTAAAGGAAGGAATTAAAGGGGTTAGGAATTGTGAGATATTTAATGAAAGCCTCTTTCCATCAGCAAGTGCATTGAAAATGAAACGGCTGGCTGACACACCAATCTGCAGATCTCAACCTCATAGAAAATCTTTGGAGGGAGTGATTTCCTTGAATTTCTTTTTCTTATTCTGTCGCTCATAGTTGAGGTATACCTATCAGGAATATTACAGGCCTCCCTCATATTTTTAAGTGGGAGAACTTTCACCATTGGTGGCTGACTAAATTCTGCCACGAAGAATCCTGGTGCTACAGTCAGTAGTAGATTCTCCTTCTCCATAGAGGTCTTCATGTATGGTGTTAACTCTTGGTTTAATGTTCACCTTCTATGCCCTACAGGTAGGGGGCTCTAGCGCTCTTTGTATAGTGCACATGTTCCAGAAGCATAAATGTTTGATGAAGAATTGCGGACATTCTATGCTAACAATTTCATAACTTTTTTAATGCAAGCATTCATGTCAGGGGGTGCAAAATGGGTGGTGGGTTTTAATATGGTTTTATTTATATTTTATGCATGTTGTGTTTTCTAACATTGATTTTTAACTTGCACCACCTGAAGCACCCCGGCTCCCCACGTGACAATTAGAACACCTGTGTCATGGTACAAAAGGAGATGGGGAGGGGGCGGGGAGACGGAGAGAGAAAGCCAGACGCGGCGGGTGAGAGCCCGTGGTCTGGCGGCCCAGGCCGTGGGAACGTATTTTAGCCTCCGTTTTAGCCTCCATTTTAGCCTGTTTTAGCATTTTAGTCAGTTTTTTAAGCTTAGGTTTTTATTGCCTTTATTTACTTGTTTTTAATGTATTTTATAATCAATTGCTTTTAATTCGCTTTTAATCCAGTGGTCTTTCTTTAAACCCGGGTCGTAAGAACCTGTTTTTACCCCTGTGAAATTTTTGGCATTGTCTAGCAGGACCCGGTACCACTGTTTTAAAAATCAAGCCCGACCCAGCCCGAGCCCACTAATACTAAGCCCGAGCCCGTATAAGTTCAGTTCAGTTCAGTTCAGTTTATTTATTTGCCATTTGCAGTAAAAAACCACATTGGAATACATTAGCCAAAAGTCTCCAGTGCGCCCAGACAAATACAGACATAAAACAACATTAAAAGACAGAAATAAAACAAATAAAACAGTAAACAAATGTCACTGTGAAATCGATCGACTAAAACAGTTTCAAAACAAGTGCAAATCATTAAAGTGCTCTGTTCACACTGATAACAGCTTGTGGATAAAAACTGTTAGCGTAACGAGATGTCCTGCATCTCAGAAAGCGATATCTTCTGCCAGAGGAAAGAAGCTGGAACATGGCTTTTCCAGGGTGGCCAGAAGAGTCATTGACAATCCTAAGAGCTTTGTTTAAAAGTCTGGATTTATAAAGAACCTCCAGAACAGGAAGCTCACAGCCCACGGTCCTCTT